TTGTAGCTAAATTTCACTGATTTAGACGGCATTTATACGTTATTACTAGTTTGAACACTGTTACGTTTTTGTATAATTTTTAGTCTTTTTTAGAGCTTAGTAAAGTGGAGTATTTTAGTGTAAGTTTGTGCAAACTTGGCTTGCAATAAGAAAGAGTGATGGTTAGTAGGGGAAATGAGCGAGTACGATTGATATGTGGTTGCTCTGAGACTGAAAAGAACGAGAAAAATGGAGAGAGAGCTGTAAAGTGGAATAGGATGTGTTCATAATAAATGTGTCTGCACATAATTACATCGCAGTTTCTTCATCATCTTTTAAAGTGTCGATTATTTCTGTATAGGTGGATTGTTCATCCCACCTCCTAGTAGTATATGCATAGATGGCAGCATAGGATGGTGTTGATGGTGTATTTGATGACTGGCAGGCGTTATTTCTGGTTATTCAGGTTATATCTACTGAGTTTGCACAATAAATAAGTTTTATGGTAGAATTTGCTTGTTATTAGAATTTTCTGAGTGTATGCGAATGTGCGTATTGAAGATCGAGTCATCAGGGGCATTTATTCTGTTCTCGCTTTTAATCAATATATCAAATATCTGTGTTACATTAAATATGTTTTTAGGCTCTCAAGGAGAATCCGGATTTAGTGTATCGTCCACAGAGGAAGAAACCAAGTAAGAATAGTTTAGCAAAGCAGGAATTTTCTATGGACAGTCATTCTCCAGCGTATATTAACAACAACATGACTCCAGTCGTTCAACACAGATATAGTAAGTATATCTGGTTATATCATCGAACATTTAGAAGGGATGCAGGACTTTGTGTTTTTTCTTTTGTAGATTGGTTCTTTTTTTTTTTCTTTTCTTTTTTTTGGAGACCTACATTCTAAGCTTATTCTCTCTGCTGCAAAGCGTGCAAGACATTTTTAAAGGCGCACTTGCAAAATCGTTCTGAAAAATTGATTTTTAGATGGTTGTGCCACCAATGTTTACCAGTGTCAGTCTTCATCGCAAGGTTAATCATTCATCCCCCATTGTAAATTTCTTTAATTTGGCTAACTCGGCTGGAGTAATTGCATTATTTTTTCTTTGAACCGAAATTTGTCATGCAGTGGTGTTCGAGGAAAGTAATTACTATAGCAGATTGTGTTTTAGCTTATATTTCGGCCTGATTCCGCTTTTGTAAGTAGAATGAGGTTTTATTTTTCGCGGTTGCTTTTTGAAGATATTTAGCAAAACTCTGCGGATGATTGCTTTTTGAATTTTAGAATATGTAGGAGTATCAGTGGATTTCGAATTAAAATTTGTTTTAAGACGACTGATAATTAGGCTTTGGATTTTTACACTTTTGAAACTGGTTTGGGTTCTTTGTTTCCTTTGCATTATTACAGTCATTTGGAAGGTTCCGTTTTATCTTATTTAAAGGCTGTTATAGGCGTCGCACAACCGAACGGCACTGTCTTTGTGGCCCAGCCAATTGTGTACTCCTCTATGCAACTACAGTCTACTTCTCAGGTTGAGAAGCTCACACTTTATTTCCTTTTGGTTTTGCTTTGTTTTGAAGAGTCTTGGAAGTAGCTGAGGAGAGTTGACTAGCGGTAAATCTTCTGCTTATATTCAACTACTTAAGGGAACACCAATGGCCGTTACCTTTCAAACGCCACAAACACCGGTGCAAACTATTCAGCGGCCATACCAAACGCACCTGTCAGGCACACCTCATTCTACTTTGCAAAACCATCATCCACCAGTCAGTGCTTCACAGATGCTTGACATGTACTACACATCTCTCTGTCAGCCAGCTTTTCCAGAACCAGGTAAAATTTATTTTGCATGGTTAGCATTTTACCTTTGCTTACAAAAACATGAGGAAAAAGTAATTTCTACTTGGAGACGGTGGTTTCCATCTTTTTAGCCTCTATTAACTTTCAGGTGAGACAAATAACATGGCTCCACCTCAGTATTATCTTGACCAATATCAACAGCTTCATCTGCAAGCTTTATCAGCGCAGAGCTATATTGGTGTTACTGCGGGTTATGGGTCTTATTCTGGGATTTAACATGAGAGTTCAAATACCTTACATTCTTCTATTCACGGCGTTGAAGAGCAGGTTATGGCAAGAGGAAATTTTTTGCTTTTTCTCTCCCTTCAATCAGAAGACCTGATTTACAGCGCTGTCTCTGATCTGGGTACTAGTCTAAAGTATGACGTTTATGTGGTGGGATTTTAGGAGACTTAATCCTCATCCTCTCTGAGGTGTAGCGACTTTGTTTTGGAGATTGGTCAGGTTAGTTATTATGCTCTTAATCAATTTCGGTTGTATTTTTTTGATGTATTATGAATTGTGTAAAATACATTTCTCTATATAATCATGCTGTGAATTTTTTCAGAAGTTTAATTTTTTTTATTTATGTGAGTCGACTTTCGTTTTCTGTCTGTAAATTTCTTCATTTGGGATTTCCTTTTGTCATTCCATAGCTCGTGAACTTTAATTTGAAGCTTGCTTATCGATCCCGTCGAGCATTACTGTGGGAATTTTGTTTGAGACTTGTGATAGGTAGATTATTAAAAAGGGGTCTTAAGCAGTTAGATTAATTCGTCATTTACGGCGGGCATTTGTCTGTTTGATATCGCTTATCATCCTCGTTGGGGTTCGAAGTAAGCTAGTTTTATACTGATAATCTGTGGCTGTTTTGTCCTGATCCTTTTTAGAGTGTCTCAGACTAGATAATCTTACTTTTATACTATTCTTAAAAACTTTAGCTTAATTATTTTCTTGTCAAGTTGTCATTTTTCAGAGTTTTTCTTTTTAATTCTAAACGCTTGTTGCAGATACTTTCTAACCTTCTTAATTCGTTGAGGAGTATTTTTACCTAGATTTTAGAATTTTTCTGGGACTGGGTTGTTCCTATGGAGCTTCCAACTTTAATTTATAATTTTCTTTCCCTCTTTTTTCTTGCTTCTCCGTTCTCGTCACTCATTACTTTGCCTTCTTATCGCGTTAAGGTTTAAAATGATGGTGTGCACAGCATTTTTAGTGAACCTCGCGATACCTACTACCTCTCTCATGAAAACCAGTGCCGTTATATTTTAAAGGCTAATATCGTTCTGTTATGTGTGTAATGAGTCAGTTTTTGCGTTCTTGTGAAGATTTTTCATGCTTTGTATCCGTATCTTTTATTTCTGACCCACTTCATTTTTGTTCACATCACAGGTTGTACTCTGACTTGTTTAGGGATATCAATGTATATCGGGTTTTGGTAGCTTTCTCAGCTTAAATTGAGTGGGAAGTTTCAAGTTTTTTGAATCTAAAGTCCC